GTCAACTTCTTATCCCATATTCGGAAGTGCGTAGCACATCATCACAGCTATAAATTTGGGGTATATAAATTTCACATTAATGTGAAAATGGGTATTCCAAATACTTTCTAGGTCAATATTACCGTGCTTAAACTAAAAGAAAGACATAGGTATAGACTGGTTCTTCGTCGAACCAGGTTACAGTTCAATTTGCTATACCGGCATATCAGTGCTATTTCAGGGCTGAAATGCAGATGTTTGATGGCCTTAAATTTGCTTTAAAAATGTGTCAATTCTAAGTCAAAATTAAAACCAAAACCTTGATATGCCAGGCATTCAGCATAAAATGTCGTGAATTCTCAGCTCTAACAACTTTCCTAGTCTACCTGGATGCATACCTATTTGGACACATATAACACCTCTGGATTCAAAACCCTGCTGCATGTCTTCATGAAATTTTTCAGTTACCAATTTCTCAGTACAAGAAACAATAACAATCACTTCTGACATTTCTTCTTCAGAATAGGACGAATGGAGGGGGAAATAACCAACGCGATTTGTAAATGCGTTGCTGCGACCGTTTTGTCGCTATTGGCAAAACCGTGAAGAACCCTCCAAAAGATGCGCAGCTCTCATATGACCAGCGGAAAAACAAATGGTTCGGAGGGCCGTCTATAGAAGGCTCAGCGCTGGTGGCGCCCGTGTTTGATGTCAGTGCCCTGTCCGAGGGCAGCAGACGGCTTCCTGGCTCGCGGCTGCGGTAGCTGGCGCGTCGCGACGACACGGCCGCCCGGCTGCGGCCGTGCTGTGCGGCGCCGGCTGAGGCGGCTGGATCGGCCGCCGGTCATTATCGCGATGACGATCTGTTACCACGCTGCCAGCGCCCAGCAGCCGCCGTGACGCAGCTGGCCCACGACCAGGCCACAAGCCCGCACTGCACGGACGTCGGCCGATAACTCGCGGCCACAAGCAGGCACTGCACGGACGTCAGCCGACAGCTCGCGGCCACAAGCAGACACTGCACGGACGTCAGCCGATAGCTCGCGGCCACAAGCAGACACTGCACGGACGTCAGCCGATAACTCGCGGCCACAAGCAGACACTGCACGGACGTCAGCCGAGAGTTCGCGGCCACAAGCCGACAGGTCGCAGCCGTCGGCCGACAGTTCGCTGCCACAAGCCGGCGGCGCAGGTCCGCTGCAAGTACAGGACACATACGTGCGCGTGCGCCACAGGGACACGAGCGGATGCGATACGACGACGAGCCGCTGACGTCATGAAGCCACGAGTCGACACTACTGAGCTATCGCCGTGCCCTTTACCGCCACCAGACAGCTTGCTTGGCCATCAGCCTGTAGCACGCTGCACGGCCACGTCCCCTAACTTCAGCTCGAAGTAGCCGGTATCGGAGCGGCACCTCCCCGTACTCGGGGTCGCCGTTACCGACCTGGTCCGGTTCCAGTCGGCCTCACTTCCGATGGCGTATTCCGCACCACCATCAGCAGCAGAGCGGTGACCCGAAGAGCAGTCCAAGGCTGTCTAACAGCCCCGGAGCAGCCCAGTCGCTGCCCTCGGGCGCCGCGGTCACGCCGCTCCGCCGCCTCCCCGCCGCCGCCGCCGCCGCACCACTCGGCACGCATGTGAAGCATGACGCGCGCGGCCGGCCGTGTCTCTGGACGCAGTCTGCGTCAGCGGTGCTCGGTAGTCCGTCCAGAGCCGGCGCCGACCGCTGCCGGCCGTGTCTCTAGGCGCAGTCTGCGTCAGCGGTGCTCGGTAGTCCGTCCAGGGCCGGCGCCGACCGCTGCCGACCGGGACGACAGGCGCCGCCTCGGCTGAGACTTCGGTGTCAGACGTGCGAGCAACAGTGCAGCACTCGCTGCGTGTTGGCGTGCGCTTGTTGGCATGCCCTACTGGGCAGCGCTTTTTGACGCGAAGCATGCCGTGACTAAACGTTCCGAATGTTTGTTGAGCAGTGTAGCGCACCAGATTACTGCCATGAGGAGCACGCTCATCAGGCAAACATTCATGATGAATCTGATCGGGAAGGCGGGCTCCACTGGCACTACCCAGCACCAAGGCAATACAAACATAAAAACAACCTAGCACCACCGGCACTACCCCCCCCCCCCCCCTCCCTCCCCCCAGCATGGCCTCGTTACCGTCGCTCCGATGTATATTACCAATAACATCCCTGGAGCATTTTGATTCATGGGGCAGGTGAGTTAATGAAGAACGTGATAATCGTCACGAGGATTATACCAAAATCAGAGCGGTTGCAGCCATCCGACCCTGGAAACCGAGGCAAATAGCTTTTATGAGTTATTTGGATGGCCCGTTTGTCGCAAGTTGAGCAAATTCATTTCTTCAGTTCTAAGTGTGGGATAATCTGCTGAGGCTGATAATGCTTGTTCACATTTTGAGCCAATGCATTCCACGTATTATCCACAGTCACATGTTCCACGTATTATGTACGGCATCACTAACTGTAGTCCGCGCGATCTCAAAACCCGGAAGGACATGCGGCAAAGTCCCGAAAAGATATATTTATCAGCTACAAATAAGGGCATAATGACGTTAACATAAAAGCAGGGACATCACGCTATGGCACAAAGACGAATGATGACATCAGCTGAAAACTAGTTACCGGGAAATTACAACAAATGATGATTAATGGAATTTCGATACTGATGCATTTGTCACAAGTTAACAGCAGAAAACGATCGCAATTGAGGCGCAGCGTACAGCAAACCATTTCCCCAAAGCTAAAACGCCGCTGCTCACCGGCCCTTCGGCAAGGACCCGCTGCAGCTATAGCATGAATAGCTTTGTTGAAAAAATTGCTCGTCTATCATATTGATCAGGCCTGACTGTTTCAGTGGACCAAATAGAAAATTTGGAATTATTCACGTTTTCGTGACTGTCCAGTGTAGTGCTAGAAAAAAACTTAGAGGGGCCTGGATATTTATCTCATTAAACTTGGAAACACGACTGTGTGTCTGATCTGTGACTTATATAACCCAGTCTTTCTCGGCTAAGACTCCAGGGCGCGATATTCTACCCTGGGTTTCAAAAACGATATTGATGGTTTCTGGGTTGATTACTGGGTTCAAATGGGTCCGGCAGTGGTATTTGTTCAGCTCGGTGAGTGATTTCTAGACAAGCGCGTTCCCTTGCGATAGGTCTGTGTACCGAGCTCATTGTTTTACATCTTTACTCACCTCTGTTTGCAAACATCTGGCACCAATCCTTGATAATGCCACCGGACCGGTGGGCCCATGTTTTGCGCTCGAGCACGCGGGACCGGCTGCGCGCGTCGACCCACACTTTTACTAGCGCGGTCGTCTGTTTCCTTCTTCGCCAGATGGTATTGGCCTCGTGGCGCTGCGAGCCAGCGTCGCCGAGATCGGTTGGCGGCTTCGACTTGTGTTCCTCCGTTTGTTGCAATCTCTAGTTTTAACATTGTCTTTGTAAATCGCATGGAAATGCCAAGCTGTCGTAATTTCGGAGAGTTGTGGGAAGGCGTGTGAGAAAAACTGTTTTTCATGTAAATACCTGGACTTGCAACTAAAACAGCATGACACTACGTTTCATGGCCGCAAAGAAGGCGGTCAAAGACGTGAGAGGCTGGACCTGGTCGGAACTTCAGAATTACCCATTTTTTGTGATTTCACGTTAAGTTCAGCTTAGCCTGCGGTCTGGCTCGTAACAAGTCGCCACGTACGCCCATTAGATGCTCTGCTTTCTCGTGCGATACCGGCCCCTGCTCGCCACAGTTACATATCTGTGTTTGTCCCGTAACTTTTCGTATTTTCTTTCTATGTTGCACGCGCGACGTGGTAAGTTTTGCAACGTCATATTCCTTCCGCTGTTTTATGCTTAGTGGGCGATTCCCACCGGCTCTTTACCATTGGGACACGGGGGCATAACCGCATATCTGAGATGGGGGAGGGGGGAATCAGGGTTGAATGGATGGCACGGGTCTGGCGGTGAGACAGCTTGACCCTAAAGTGACTTGTTAAATGGGGAAACATAGGAAAGATGCCTTGTACGGGCAAAATTGGACCGGGCAAAATTCCTTTTATTAAGATTAGGGGATGAATCTTCCAGGTGGTTACACTCATGTTAGGACCGGTGGTTTGCTTTATGGAAGTGACGAACATGATCTGTGTAACTGAATATGTAATGCTGATCAATTTATGCTACCGGACCTGCTCAATTCTATGCAAATGGCATATTCCGCTTTCGCTGGTTGAATTGTTTTGTACATTGTGTGTGATGAAAACCCGCGTCAAAGTCTTTTATCCCGTCATCTTTTATGCATGAGTGATGTAACAAACGCCGTTTTCACGAATGCTCAGTTGTGGGTACGGATTTTAATGCCGTGTGATGCGTAGTAAGTCCGTGTCCGCTTGTTGTTTGCAGCCCGTTTGTAGACCCTGCCGACTCCACCCTCCAATGTGCACTGCGCCGACCCTAGCCCGGCTAAATGCCCTGCTCATTTCGTGTTCCCACTGGAGACCTCCGCTGACCCTGAGCCCAGTAGTTGTCTGCAGACCCAGCCCGCCTGCAGACTCGGCCTACCTGCTGACCCTGCCGTGTCATCCACTCCGCTCTCATTACTCATCGTCTTATCCTTCACCTCCACCCGCCCCCGTTTACCTAGGGCAAGTAGCATGCATCAGCCATGTGCGGGCCTGAGTGTCTCCCTGGCGGAAGCCCCGCCCGAGCGCCCGTGCAGACCCAGGTTCTCGATAGCGGAGCACTCCCGGATGCCTGCAGTTGCCTCACCGCTCCTGACTCTTCTTCATTCGATGCCCCTGAACTGGCTATTGCTGACCCAACTGACGCCGATCTCGATCGAGCCAAACCAGACCTATGGTGTGTGGCGGTGTTAACCGTGCGATCTCAGCCGCCAGCTGGGCGGCCGCCGATAACCGTGCGACCCCGGCCTCCAGCTGGACTGTTAACCGTGCGACCCCGGCCTCCAGCTGGACTGTTAACCGTGCGACCTCGGCCGCCAGCTGGACGGCCGCCGACTCCAGAGTAGCGTGCCGCCAGCTGGGTCTCACCGGCGGACACTACGCCGACTGGTACCCCTGGCTCAACGGCACGCGACGACTGCTGTACGAGCGGCCCGGCTGCGACGGCTCGGAGGCGCGCGTCCAGGACTGCCGCTGGAGCAGCCGCGCCATGGGCGCCGGCATCTGCGGTACGTCACGGACACCACCTGTACACGGCTGGGGTCGACTGCGCACGGCTGGGGTCGGCTGCACACGGCTGGGGGTCGGCTGCACACGGCTGGGGTCGGCTGTGCACGGCTGGGGTCGGCTGCACACGGCTGGGGTCGGCTGCACACGGCTGGGGTCGGCTGTGCACGGCTGGGGTCGGCTGCGCACGGCTGGGGTCGGCTGCACACGGCTGTGGTCGGCTGCACACGGCTGGGGTCAGCTGCACACGGCTGTGGTCGGCTGCACACGGCTGGGGGTCGGCTGTGCACGGCAGGGGCCGGCTGTGCACGGCTGGGGTCGGTTGTGCATGGCTGGGGTCGTCTGCACACGGCTGGGGTCGGCTGTGTACGGCTGAGTTCGCCTACAGACGGCTGGGGTCGGCTGTGCACGGCTGGGGTCGGCTGTGTACGTCTGGAGTCGGCTGTACACGCCTGGGGTCGGCTGTGCACGTCTGGGGTCGGCTGCGCACTGCTGAGTTCGCCTACAGACGGCTGGGGTCGCCTGCAGACGGCTGATGTAGTTCGTAGCTAAGGAGCCGGGTCTCTAACTCTTGCGTTCGGCCGCTCGAGTGGTGGGCAGCCAACTAATTCGATACAAAGATTTAGCCAGCATCACATTATAATTGTCACACGGCGCGGGGCGTTTGTTCGACTAAGATTCCACGTAGCATCACGGAACCCCAACAAAGGCAGGATCTATGGGGTATGACGTCATGAATGACGTCGTCGTCTTGCCGTCCGGGCAGCTGTGAACGCATGCTTTGTTGTTGGGCATGCGCATGAGGTTGCCTGTAGGGCGCAGCCAGAGCTTTGGCAGGGAGGGGGGAAGCAGGGTTGACAAAGGGCCCGCTGATGGTAAAAGGGCCCCTAAAAAATCGCTGGATATGGCTTGTTTGGTAATGGTGGCATGTTTTTCTTAAAAAAGCATGCGTTAAGTGACTGCATGAAATAAATCGCCGGCACCCTTCATTTTACACTGGTATATTGGACTCTTTTTAAACCGATAAAACTCAAAAACTTAATCAAAATTTGTATCTTAGTTGTACAGAGATATCAAGGATTCCGTGGTCTCCTTTAGCCGCGCAGCGTCGGCTTCTCGGCCAACGCCAGACCGTGGCGAACGGGTCGACGAAAATGATGACACATTTGAAAGAAGTACTTTTGAACGCTTCTGGCCACGAATCGCACATCTAAAGATATTCCGGGCGTAATTTAACACGTGTGGTTTTTAGACTGATGACAAAAACGCGTTGGTCTTTATAGCACCGCGAAGTGGTCCTGAGATCTGGTGATGTAGCTGGGGGAGAAAAGGTAAAATCTCTATGTTTCGTGTTGCTTTAACTGTTAAGCTGTCCAGAGAAAAAAACTCGAAGTCGTAAAAAAGGTTCGCCCAGTGTAATTTTTGAACTTAACGACTTAATTTTGAGATACCTAGAAACATTATTTTACGATGGTTGTGCCCACGGCGCCCGCCGCCTGGCGTTACATGCAGTAGCCATTGCTGTTCAGTTTTACGAAAACTGCCACCCAAGTCATCACTATCCTTGCTCCCCAAGGTTACGGGCGTGCCATTGGGGCTTTATGACTACTGCTGGGGCTGTATGGCGTCGCCAGCCTCCCACCCTGGCGGGAAGGGCGGACACCGCAGGGAATCGAACCCCGTGCTTGTGGTTCCCAGACCCGCAGAAGTTAACGTAGGCGCGTTAACCTCTACACTATTGTTACCCGGCGCGCAGGCTGAAACCTTCTGATGTTATTTGTTTCACTATTCTATTTTACATGGCACATTACTGTTCCCGGTCAAGGGCTGAGGGGCCATTCTGTCCCATTGCGCTGTGTCTTCCGGCCGTCATTCTGGCGACACGGGGCGGCATCATCTAATTTGTCCGGAGGCCCTTAGAGGGATGTATTTACCACATTGGTCTGCTCCCTGACGAGGGAAGCTTTCTGACCCGCGCAGTTGACCCCGTATCGACGCATGAACCGTCATGATTGCAACAACATCCCTGATCGCCGCAGGTGGTCAAATAATTGGCACATATACTCCAGATGTGCTTAACGGTCCCATGTTGGAAAGCGGATCGAGGGCCCACCGTTAGGTACTGAGGGCCCTGACTGGCACAGCGCTCTTCTATAGCTTCCATGTGAGCGTTCCTCATAAGTTCTAACGTTTCCTTCAATTGTCTGAGGGCCTCGACCAACGCAAGAGACCCTCTGTCATTTGTATTCCCGTCCCGTCCCTGTTGTGCAAATCTTCCCCTGGCCAATTCGAGGCCACTTGTTGACACAGAATACCTTATTAGGCGCTGTGGGCCCCTGAACGATACAGGAGCCCGACCAACGTAAGTCGCAGTTCCGGCCTTGTCCCTGCTTGGGAAACGGGCCCCCAGAGCTCAGACCAACACAGAGCCGATTGTTCGTTGTTCGTGAAAACTGGCCGAAGTAGAGGTCCGGAGCGGCCGGTTTGCGCCGCGCTGCAGCGGCCGGTCTGCGCCTGGCCGGAGCGGCCGGCCTGTGCTGAGCCGGAGGGGCAGGTCTGTGCCGGGCCAGAGCGGCCGGTCTGCGTCGGCCTGGAGCGGCCGGCCTGAGTCGGCCTGGAGCGGCCGGTCTGCCCTGGGTCTGGAGCGGCCGGTCTGCGCCGGGCCGGAGCGGTCGGTCTGAGCCGGGCCGGAGCAACTGGTCTGCCCTGGGTCTGGAGCGGCCGGTCTGCGCCGGGCTGGAGCGGCCGGTCTGCGCCAGGCTGGGGCGGCCGGTCTGCGTTGGGCCGGAGCGGCCGGTCTGCGCCGGGCTGGAGCGGCCGGTCTGCCCTGGGCCTGGAACGGTCGGTCTGCGCCGGGCCGGAGCGGCCGCCGGCTGATGGCTGACGTTGGTCAGATGTGTGGCAGAGCTGACCTCGAGTGTGACCCGCGCAGATGAGCACGCCGACCTGGCGCTGCGCTGTCTGCCGGTGTTCGATGCCAGCCGGCCGGCCTCGCAGTGGCGCGGCGTCCGGTTCGAGCACGCCGCCCACGACAAGATGCTCACCGCCGGCGACACGCTGTACGAGAAGTTCTCCCAGTCGAAGCTCTACCACCTGGAAGTGCTACACCGGGCATGGGGCTCGACAGACAGGTGAGACGGCGGCGACGGCGACGGCCTGGCGTCCGACGGGCTCCTAAGACCCCGCCGATGCTGTGCTGTGTTCACTGGTTCGGGAAGTCGCTGGTTGTCTCTGACCGTCTTCTGGCCGCAGTTAGCCTGTGGCCGGCTCTGGGCGTCGTCTGCTCGCGGTTGTGACGCCGGCTGTGACCCGCTCTCTGCCGCCGTCAGGTGCATGCGGCGATCGAGGAGCGAGGGCGTGCCACCGCAGATGTACGGCGTCACGGTCCGCCACTCGGCCGGCGGCGGCATCAACATCACGGCGCCAGACTCCTTGGTCAACATCAACACTGCACCGTCGAACACAACGCTGGTGCGTGCGGCGGCTGCCTCCAGACTGCGTGTACCTGCGCGGTTGCCATATACACATCACTGAGACCCCCTGAGTGATGTGCTAAGGCTTAGTTTTAATTACTGTTGGCGTGTTGTATTATTCGTGTATGCTGTTCATTAAATTTTGCACTGCCCTGGTACTCAGTTGTGTTTCAGCGTTTCACGTGCCAATTCTTGCAGAGTTCATGATTATGTCTACCCAATTGTTCGTTAGGGTGTAGCCTCGCTCCCATTTTCAAGCGGTTTCCCCCCCAACTGGTGCATTTTCCACAAAGGCCTCGGCGTGTCAAGGTCCATGAAACACATATGTGCCACGTCTGACTGCAGAGTTCTTTTGTCTGCCTGTTGTCAGATTATACGATATGGGTTGGTATGATAATCAAACGAATATCAAACGAAAATATAGTGTCATCTCCTACAAGCTTTGATTAAAACGCCGATACCGTACCAAGGATTTTAACCGTGATTCAAGGCAACAACACATGCTAAAACCTCTCCTTACGGGTAGCCCCTCCTCATTTTGCCACCTAAAGGTTATCAACAAACGGTAACCAAAATTACGGAAAGCGGGCTAACTTGACCGTTGTGACGTTTTTTGGATAAATGCCGTGAGCAATTTTCGGGGTGCATCAACCCCGGCCGCTTGGCGCCTTCCAGCAAGCACCGCAATCTGGACCCGCGTTCGCAAGAGCCCTCCGAAGAGCTACTGGACATTTCTTTTAGCGTGGCGGTAGATGACGAGGCGGGCGTGCTGTTGCAGGCACCGGTATCTACGTCAACACATCCACGGGCCTCGTGCACGTGCACGGCTGCCGGGTGCTGGGGAGCGGCGCCGACGGCCTGCGCCTGGTGCAGCACGACACGCAGACGCCGCGCCGCGAGGTGGACGGCACGGCCGTGGCCGACTTCTGCAGCTCGGGCACCATCGCCCGCCAGATCTTCCCACTCTACACCGTGGCGCAGCAGTTCAAGACCAGCCACCGACCGATCCGGTGCCAGAAGGTGAGGCGGCCTCCGCGTGATGGTGAGCACGGTGTCCTGCGAGCCTGAAGGCCTCACGCCGCTGTCAGTCAGTGCTCTTACTGTGTTAAATAGCCAGGTGACACGTGAAACTGACGGAGTATTACTACGGCCAGCTTCTCCTCGCTCATCTCAGGTGTTGATATCAGAAATGATTTCTGTAGTCATCGGGCCATTAAAGGCCGCTTCGCTTCAGCCTCGGCTCCTGCACGGGCCGTTTAAACAACCAATGCAGCGCTTGGTCTAGTGTAGGAAAGTTTTCATTCTGAGCACTTGATGATCTAAACCCAGAGAAGTGCTCGTGACCGCCCTGCGTGCCGTGCAGGACCCCGGTCGCGCGTGGGCTGGGTCCTGCAGGCCGACACGTGTGCCCGCCGCCCGGCTGAAGTTCGCCGGGGCCATTCCAGCGTTTCAGCTCCCGGATCGGGCTGGTGCTCACCGTGAACTTCCTGTATCTGATGAACGAAGCCAACGACGATGCTGAGATCAGTTTTTTACGACGGGAAGTCGGAGGCGTCTCCACTGCTCGGTAGTTTCAAGGTGCGCCCCTAGGTTCGCTGCGCGTTGCTCGCTGTAATGCCGTCAGCGGTCGGATGTCAGCTGTCAGAACGCCAGACTGTCATGACATTCTTGGTCGGAGATGACCTTAGTTACAGAATGTGTCCAGTTGCGTGCAATGACTGAGTGTATTTGGCCAGATTTATGGGTGTTTTACGTGCTCGTCTGAGGCCTCCACGGCTTGCAGCAATTTCTGGAGCGCTTACCTCTGAAGCCACTATATGTCTGTCGTTGTACGTTTCTCAAATATATTTTGTCATGGGGGCAACGCTTGTTGTGATTTGATTGCTTCTGACGATTCAAAACAGAAGTAAAAAAAACATATGAAAGGATTGCGTGCGACCCGACTTGGCGATTACACAGGACAGGACAGGACAGGACTCAGGACATCATACTCAGCTGAATGCGAGACATCCTCTGCATCACTGCACCAGCCGGCTGACTGTGCGCTGTCGGCAGGTACGCAACGGCAGTCGGCCGCAGAGTCTGGTGACCACCCGCAACCACCTGCTGGTCACCTTCTCCGCCCGCAACCGGACGCAGACGGAGGTGTTCATGGCCGTCACGGCCGGGCTCGGTGAGTTGTCTGTCCCCAGCCGCCGCGTCCCCGGCTGTCCAGCGCCCGCAAACTGCACGCGGAATTGTTGAGGCCGTGAATACAAATAATTATAACGCCGCGAAGACACGCTGCACTGTATTTGCTCTAGTTTTTTCAAACATTTCTCTTTTTGGCGTATTTTTGGTTTTGGGTCTTTTGGTGGCGACTGCGCCATTCCTGCTGAGGCGATGTGATTCCACGTCGCGCATGTTCATGCTTGAATGTCATTTCAGGGAAAACGCAACGATCTGAACGTGTCTAGCTCGGACATCTCTGACAACAATGGACGCGGCATCGCCGTGGAGAACCTGCGCTCGCTCGTGCACGTGCACAGCTCGGTCGTGTCCAACAACTCCCACGTGGCCGGCGTGCACGTGCGGGGCGGTGGCGGCGACGTCAACATCACGTGGTCGCAGATCACCGGCAACAACGGCGACGGCATCAACATCACCTACGCCGGCGGTGCGCAGAACATCTCCTGGTGCGAGATAGCGGACAACAGAGGGCGCGGCCTGTCACTGTGGTACAACGAGACCCGCGAGGTGGTGGCCTTCAGCCAGCAGCTCGTGTTGGCCTATTCTAACTTCTCCGAGGAACTGGCTGCAGGGTGCGTTCGTCGGCAAACTTTTGCCGCGACTCGTTCGTCAACATCAGCGGTAACGTGTTCCGGCGCGCGCGCCAGGACGCCGTGGACCTGTGGACGTGCCAGCGCTCCACGCGGGGTGCGTTGACGCTTCAGATCGGCCACAACCGCTTCCACAACAACGAGAGGGCTGGCGGTCAACATGGCATCCGGTGTCGAACGTGTTCGGTAACATCGAGTACAACTACTTCGCGGACCAGCTGGTGGCGACGCTTGAGGCTGTACAGCGGCGACACGCCGGGCCGTCGAGAAGCTGCCGCTCCAACTCAACACATCACGCACAACTTTTTCGAGCGCAACGCCCGGCATGTACGTGGTGAACATCGGCGCCTCTCAGTACGCGCACGACTCTGCTCAGCAGATCCTCTTCACCAAGAACTTCTTGCAGAAGAACAACGTGTCGGAGCCGTTTCCCAGCCTGAACCCGCGTAACCGCGTGGCGGCCGTGGTCACCGTCTCCTCAGCGTCGGCCGTCGTCTACCGCAACATCCTGGAGAATCCCGCCTCGCGCTACGAACTGGGTGTCCACTTCGAGGACCAGAGCGCCAACGCCAACTTCTCGCACAACTGGCTCGGCTTCAAGCGCTCCAACCAGGTGTACGACCGCGTGTTCGACCGCAAGGACCGCTACAACCTGGCCAAGGCCGACTTCGAGCCGTTCCTGCTGAGCGAGAACGACCCCAACTCGATTCCTCCTCTCGCTCAACGAGCAGTTCGTGCCGAGCTTCGGTCCGAACGAGGTGGTGCGAGATCGGCGGTGAGATCGCCGGTCAGGTCATCCTGCCCGACGGCACGTTCTCGGTCACCCGCGACATCTACGTCAGGCCGGGCGCGCGCCTGACCGTGGCCTTCGGCGTGCGCCTCGAGTTTGAGCACAGCGTAGGTGAGTGCTCGTCGGAGTGGCGGCCCAGACCATGCTGAGGTGATGGGCGGGGACAGGGGTGTGCACCAAGGCCTGAGGAGATTGGGAGGTTCAACGGCGGAGGACGATAAGACAATCGTTGACATCAGGGCAGGGCGCACGCAAGGCAAGGGGATTAAGTTCCTTCCCAGACCCATGGTGGAGCGGTAACGGGCTAGGACAGGCCCTTCGTAAGATGAAAGCACATCACTTTTCTCTCTCTCCTGGCTCGCCTTCTGGAACCTTATCCAGGCCCTAGGCCTATTTTTTAACACCCCGCCATTCGATGTGGTACGCCCCTGCCTTCCCACCTAGTTTGTGGGTGGGCACGTGGCAGCTTGGAGGTTTCGTTTCGAAGGGAGCGTCTCGTCCAGCTGTGCTGAGCAGCGTCCGCTGATCTCAGGTATGATGGTGGCCGGCCACCTGCACGCCGAGGGATCCTCCATGAGCGAGGAGAAGCGTGTCACGCTCAGTCTGCAGGAGCGTGACCAGCGGGACAACGTCAGCCTGGCGCCCGTCCGGCTGGTGGGCGGCCGCACCGAGCGCGAGGGCCGCCTGCAGGTTAGTCACATGGGATTTGGCGTACTACAGCACCTTGGTCAGGTTGCTTTGGCGCACTACCGCACCTGTCAGACTGACTGTGATACTGCTGAGAAGGGAACATTTAGCCGCCTTTCCAGGGCTATTGGCCATCTTTCACATCATGTCAGCGATCATGGCCTCATAGACGTGCCCGCTTTCATGGTTACTTACATTGCTGTGACTTTGAGCGCGGCTGACGCCACCTGATTGGTGTGGGGTGTGCTGAAGAGCTCGCGGGCCGCCGTGTCCTACCGTCGGGTCCTCGCTCTGACGCCACATCCGCTGCCGGCAGGTGCTGCTGAACAACGAGTGGGGCACGGTGTGCGACCACGGCTGGAGCGTGCTGAATGCGGCGCTGGTATGCCGCCAGCTGGGCTGGGTTGCTGACATCACGCTGGACTGGCGGCTGGAGCGGGCTCAGGTGCCCGCTGGCAGGGCCCTCGACTCGCGCGTCCTCTATGAGGTGCGCCACCGGCTGCCTGCCCACCAACCAACACACGGTCACCCACTGAAGCGTTTGATGTTGTTGACCGGCAAGGCTTCCTCCTGTCTAACACGATTTTGTGTGTGTTGTTTACTGTACCGTAGGCCTACCCACCTTTACGGCGGGTCTTGGTGACGGTGACCTCTGACCGGCTAGCTCGGTGGGCTGTTCGGTGACCGACACGGACTTGTGACCCGGTTTTGTCAGCACGAGTCGGCTGACGAGCTGGAGCGCACGTGCCCGCACGAGGCGGACGTGGCCGCTGCGCTGCTCCGATTGTCAGCTGGGCCGGCGTCCGGTTCGGCCTGCCCGCCCGAAAGAACATCCTGAACGAACGTATGGCTGGAAGCACGCCCGGCTGACTGACTCGATTTCACGCCACCTACACATTCGGGCCTGGTGATTGGGCGACGCGGCGGGCCGCACCGCCCCCTGGCGTGGAAGCAGACCACGTCACTCGCACGCGCTGACTTCGCTAGAGGGCGGAAGGCCGCGACACTGTCTCCCAGCGGAGACGAGGAAGGGAGAGGAGAAGACATGCGAGCACTTATGTCCCGGGTGATTTGATGAAGGGCGATGAATGTTGAACCACGGATCGGGCTCACGCTCGGCAGTGGTATGCTCAGGAAACGGACTCCTGAACCGCTCCGGCTCACGCTCGGCAGTGGTTTGCTCAGAGGAAACGACTCTGAACGGCTCGGGCTCACGCTCGGTGGTGGTATGCCCGGGAACGGACCTTGAACGGTTCGGGCTCACGCTCGGCAGTGGTATGCCCAGGGAACGGACTATTGAACGGTTCGGGCTCACGCTCGGCAGTGGTATGCCCGGGAACGGACTAATGAACGGTCGGGCTCACCTCGGCAGTGGTATGCCCCAGGGAACAGACTATTGAACGGTTCGGGCTCACGCCGGCAGTGGTACCCCGGGAACGGACTATTGAACGGTTCGGGCTCACGCTCGGCAGTGGTATGCCCGGGAACGGACTATTGAACGGTTCGGGCTCACGCTCGGCAGTGGTATGCCCAGGGAACGGACTATTGAACGGTTCGAGCCTGCGCTATATCCAAACTGAAGCCTCCTACTGCTCAGCATCTAGCGTTTAGAGGGTGGCACGTGACTATATTTCTCAGTGAAGACAATAGCTTCTGGCGCCGGCTAGTCACCTGCCGTGTTGTAGAGCAGAGCCATCTCGGGACGCAGCTGCGCGGTGTGGCTGGGCTCTTATCACAGGGCAAAGCTTGCTGGTGGTAGCGGTGTTTGTGATCAAGTATATTATCTGTACCACCGTTTTTTTCCCAGCATGATGACTGCTTCGGTACGAAGGCCACAAGATCGGATTCTAGCCTTACACATTGATTTGAAGCAACCCAGGAATGCATGGGCCCAAAACATGAAAAGCGGGAGTAAAACCGCGATGAGTTATCTCCCAACAAACTTGCATCATCGTTTGTGAAATGCTTCGACATGCATGTTTTTGCCCATGGAAAGCAGCCGAAATGCCCGCAATCTCCAAAGCTCCTCGACCACTTTGAACTTGAGTAAGCCTTGGCATTGACGCATACTGGAACGCCGGTGCATATATTCAGTGCTTCTAACCTGTGTGCCGCTCCCCAACGCTTCAGCGTTGATCTCTCACCTACCACAGCGCTGCGAATGGACTTCAATCACCACGTGCTGGAGTCGGTGGTGCTGACAAACAATGACGGGGACGGCGTAGGGCGTCATGTTCTCCGACGTTTTCAAGATCGACTATGTCAACCACCTGAACGCGCGTCGAGGCTAAGATGAACCGCGGCCACGGCATCTCCATTGAGAACGCTCTTGGATGAGATGACAGGTGAGTGACGTCAGTCGAAGTCGAGCCAACTCTGTGCCGATCAGGCCACCTCCGTGTGCTCTCGCTTATCCTCTCCGCCTGTTGGGCAGCCTTGTTTCGTAGCCCGTAATGCGTTTGGAAATATGTCGATAGGATAGATGCTCTTGATGTCCCGTTCCAGAGCCTTCCGAATTTCACGTTTCTGTTTGCGGGGTGGGCTTTGACACTTAGGTTAGCCTTCATCTGTTGACAACACAACACATGGTTGACAACACGGTTGACTATGATCGCGCGCATCGGTCGGGCGGCGCCCCGCTCGCACCACCCGTGACGTGCTGCCGCCGGTGTGGTGCTGTCCGCGTGCCGTGCCGCTCCGGACTGGCGGCCCCGGCTGAGCGTAGCCTGCCCCCGCCGCGCAGACTGTCTGGTGGAGGAAACGGCGAGTCGGGCCTGCACTATGACCGGCGCTGAGCCGTCACGAGCGGCGCGAGCTGCCTTGGCTGGGTGGGCCTTGGCGCGGGAGAGGCGTGTCAGCCTGCCGTCGGCCGCCACCCGGCTCGAGCTCGACCTCTACAAACCCACCTACCTGGTGACCGAAGGCAGCCAGGACGCCACCGAGCGCGTCTTCTACGTCACGGTGAGAGAGCGGGCCGGCCCAGAGGAGGACGGCCGCCGGACCAAACACCGGTCCGCTGAGGACGGACTGGGACATGGGACCACCGGCTCGATGGTGGGAGTACAAGGTGGCATTGCAACGTTCTAAAATGGACAGGAATGTCTGTTGGACAACGTGCTTCCATTGGTTACCCCAACTGTGCCTTCTGCGGGATTCGCTTCCAACTTTATCGGGTGGAATATTCGCGCTGGGTGCGTTGGACCGGGAAGTACGGGAGTGCTGTTGTCGCCTGGTGACAGTGCCTTTCCATGGTCTTCTCCGGAAGACCGAGAAGAACGGCAGTGCTGTCGTGCCTGGTGACGGTGCTTCCCATGGCCTTCTCCGGTGGACGGAGAAGTACGGGACTTCTGTTGCGGCCTGATGGACAGTGCTTTCCATGGTCTTCTCAGACGTCGCGGGAGAACGTCATCGGGATCCAGGTGCTGAGTCCGGGCCGCCGACGACTCGTCGGAGGACCTTCACATCTACGACTTCTACGAGGTCCGACCCAGCGCTGTGGTGAGTGGGCTGGAATCAGGGTGTCAACGGAGCTGTCGTGGACCTCCAGCTCATCTGTCGACGGTTGGTGTGCCGTTAGAAGCTCGGTGTTTTGCTGGTGTTTCCATTTTTGACGGTAAGTTCAGTATTCGATGCTTCCAGTGCACTGCAGAAGAAAGCCCACGCAAAGTCATAGTGCTCGGCGATATTGGAGGCTGTGGTGAATAATCACATTGGCTGTCGACTGTCTGTTCTACCGGGAATTATCTCAAATAAAGACCATTTTTCTAGGAAGTGCACTTGGGGGTGGAACAGTGATGTCCTTGAAAGAGGGTTGGCTCGCTGTCCATGTGTTGGTAGAGCTCCATGGCTGATGCGCGCGCCATGTGTTTGTGCGTTGTGAGGGGGGGGGGGCGTGGGCGTAGGTGTGGATTCGTACTGTGCGTGCGTGGCGCGCGCGTGTGTGTGGCTGACACACTGGCCGTGTGTTGGCCGTGTGTTGACTGAGTTCTGAGCCGGCTGGTCTGCCGTTGGCTGAGTCCTGAGCCGGCTGGTCTGCCGCGACCGACGCGCTGGTCGTGTGTTGGCTGAGTTCTGAGCCGGCTGCCCTGCCGCGGCTGACGCGTCTACTGTCTGCGGTCGGCAGACGTGGCAGCTGCGCCGGACCTCCTGGCGTTCCCCCATTCAGCTCGTCCAGCTACCAGATCACGCTGCGGTACGTGACGCGTGGTCCAGCCAGCGGCGGCGCCGTCCTCCTCCTGACAGCCGTCAGACGTAAGTGGGCCGCCACACGAGCGGACAGGAGTCTGGATGACTGACCCATGTTGACATTGTGGGCAGACGTCAGACGCTGAACTTCCACTGCCACACATTCGTTGCTTGACGTTGCTGCCCGCCGACATGTGTGAGATTTATTTGGTGGTCATCCTCCGTTGCTGCCGCCAGCAGCCGTAGTTGGACACTGGCGAGAGGCGCTGGGCGCCGACTGACACCCTGTCTCAGTGTCTGGCCGCTGGCATTCAGGGGCTCGGCAGCCCCAGCCGCCGACTGACGCTCTGTTTCAGCGTCCGGCCGCTGGCCCTCAGGGAGTGGGCAGTCCCGGCCGCCGACTGACACTCTGTCTCAGTGTCCGGCCGACTGCTGACCCTCAGGGGCTCGGCAGCCCGGCCGCCGACTGACACTCTGTCTCAGTGTCCGGCCGACTGCTGACCCCTCAGGGCTCGCCTGGCCGCCGACTGACACTCTGTCTCAGTGTCGGCCGACTGCTGCCCCTCAGGGGCTCAGCAGCTCCGGCCGCCGACTGACGCCCTGTCTTAGTGTCCGGCCGACTGCTGACCCTCGGGGGCTCGCCCGGCCGCCGGACTGACACCCTGTCTCAGTGTCCGGCGGACTGCTGACCATCAGGGGGCTCAGCAGCCCCGGCCGCCGATGACACCCTATCTCAGGTCCGGCCGACTGCTGACCCTCGGGGTGTCGGCAGTCCCGGCCGCCGACTGACGCCCTGTCTCAGTGTCCGGCGACTGCTGACCCTCAGGGGGCTCAGTAGCCCCGGCCGCCGACTGACGCCCTGTCTCAGTGTCCAGCCGACTGTTGGCCCTCAGGGGGTCGGCAGTCCCGGCCGCCGACTGACGCCCTGTCTCAGTGTCCGGCCCGACTGCTGACCCTAGGAGGCTCGCCCGGCCGCCGACTAACACCCCGTCTCAGTGTCCGCCCCGACTGCTGACCCTGGGGGGCTCAGCAGCCCCGGCCAGCAGGCGGCGGCGCCGAGCCCGGGTGACTGCCGTCCGCCGCGCCGCCGGCGGTCTGACACGCCCCCCGTCCGCCCGCCAGGCACTGACGTGCGGGAGGTTCGACCGACGTCGCTGCTCAGGTGGCGGCGGGCCTTGGGCAGGGTGCCGAGGCTGCGTGTCCGCAACTCGCTCATCCGGAAGAACCGACACGGCCCTCTCGACATTCTTCTACAACAGGTCTGGCTTGGCGTCGTAGCTAGCCGTTCGAGGCTCGATGCAGTCACGTGCTGTTCGGACAGGACATCTACATTAAGATACATGTCTACCAGCAACGCTGAACGATTTCGACTTTTTCGCAGAAAGTGATTGCATCAGTCCATACAAAGCCCTCACAACTAAAATGTTGCCCTCATGCATGTCTGTAAGGCTATGCACTCAAACACAAAAATCATGAAAGCTCGGCTTCTGCAGTCTTCTGCCATACAGGGCGTACGAGCCCATGTTAAGTCCAAAGCCTTCTGATTATTGCAAAGCAGAGAAAACTTGTAGCAAAAGTGAGACATCAATTTGCACAGGAGAGTATGCTTAAGCGTTCTACATGTTTACCTAAAAACTGGTCATTGGCAGGCTCTGACTCTTTAACAGTAAAACGGATGCCTAGTCATCACAATATTTCCCTAGCAAATGTACTCTGTGCTGACGTTGGGTAAGATGGCGTGCTGCAGTCGTCATGCCTACCGTCGCCCTGTCCGGTTGAGCAGGTCAGTGTGGGGCGGTTGGCACGTCTATACTGGCGTCTGCAGGTACCGCGGCGATCAGGGCGAGCTGTTTCTGCGCAAGGCCAACGCGTCGATCGAGCTGTACGACTCGGAGATATCTGGCAGCCGCGAGGAAGCCGTCTTCTTGCTGTCGCCGTACCGAGAGGATGTGTCGCGCAACATCTCCGAGCTGACTGTCGTCATCAACCGCACCAGGATCGACAACAACGGCGCCGGCGTCCGTCAGTTCGCCAGGTGCGCGCAGCGTCGGCCTGGTCCGGTGCTGGCTCTCGACGTTGTCAGGTGTACGAGGGGCGGTGTTTGGGTCTCCGTTGTTTTCGTTTCAGAGAAGCCGACCGTTATCTAGTTTTTTAAAAAAATATTTGTTGTGCCTACATTGCATTGTTAGCGGTCATGGTAGCATATTTTTGTGTTATGTGCGCATTGGTGCTAAATTATTTCCCTAACTGAGGTGACATCCTCCTTTTGCTGCAGGGATCACTGGCTGTCCAACAACCTCTTCCACTGGGTACTGGACAACAATACCATTACGTCCAACCGCCGTGGTGGCCTGGACCTGACGCTGCCGTTCGTGTGGCAGTACAACGAGAACTTCACCCACTCGGTCTACATCGCCGACAACACGTTTTCCGCCAATCGCGACTTCGAGGGCGTCATCGGCGGCCACTTCGCGCGGCTGCAGCTGCTGCGCAACACGTTCTCGGACAACGTGTGTGGCCGGGACGCGGGGCCTGCTGTCGGTGCGTGGCATGGAGAAGGAGCTGCTGATCGCGGGCAACACCATGCGGCGCAACACGGGCCGGTTCATGGTGCAGGTGGACATCGACAGCCAGTCGGAGATCCAGGGCCACGTCAGCGCCAGCCTCACGCGCAACGAGGTGCGCTTCAACGAGCAGCCGCTGACGGCCGCGGCGCCGTCCCTCCCGGCCAGCCACGTGATCGAAGTGCGCGGCGTGCAGCGCGTTAACGTGACGCACAATCTTTTCGGCCGCAACCAGATGGATTACGAGTTCCTGGCGGGCACGCGCTCCTCCAGTCTGGCAACCGAGCTGGTGGCCCGCCACAACTGGTGGGGCACGCGCGACCCGCACCAGATCCGGGAGCGCATCTTCGACTTCGACGACTGGAACAGCTACGCCATCGCCCAGTTCAGTCAGTCCGTTCCTGACGTCCGACGCGCTGGCGGGGGCCGGAGGAGAGCGAGCTGGAGCGCGAGCCGCAGCCGGACCCAGACAACCTGGGCGGCCGGATACGGCGTAACCTGACCCTCAGGTGAGTGTAGTGCGCTGGCCGTCCGGCACCGGCCTGTGGCTCGGGCTACCACCCCGACTGGCTGCGTACCTCCACCCGCCAGAGGAGCCAGACACTCCTGGCACTGGTAATATTACAACATCTCTGGTGACCGCTAAACTGTAAAATAATTTTATATCATGACTATAGAAATATGTTTGACCATGGCAGTGCGATGTTTGCAGCATGGGTTTCCGATCCTTTGGCGGCCTGTCCCATTTGTGACGCACGTTTGGACTGTGTGCGGCAGTCGTGTGTTGGACTGTGTGCTGCGGTCGTGTATTGACTGTGTGCGGCAGTCGTGTATTGGACTGTGTGCGCCACCCAGTAGCCGTGTGCTGCACTGTGTCGGGTGACTGTGTGTTGGTCTGTGCGGTGGTCATGTGTGGACTGTGTCCGGTGGCCGTGTGTTGGACTGTGTAGGGTGGCCATGTGTTGGACTGTGCGGAGTAGCCGTGTGCTGCACTGTGTCGGGTGACTGTGTGCTGGACTGTGTGCGGTGGTCATGTGTTGGGCTGTGTGCGGTGGCCGTGTGTTGGACTGTGTCCGGTGGCCGTGTGTTGACTGTGTAGGGTAGCCGTTTGTTGGACTGTGTGCGGTGGCCGTGTGTTGGACTGTGTGCGGTGGCCGTTTGTTGGACTGTGTAGGGTGGCCGTGTGTTGGACTGTGTAGGGTGGCCGTGTGTTGGACTGTGTAGGGTGGCCGTGTGTTGGACTGTGCCTGGTGGCCGTGTGTGTTGGACTGTGCCTGGTGGCCGTGTGTTGGACTGTGCAGGGTAGCCGTTTGTTGGACTGTGTGCGGTGGCCGTGTGTTGGACTGTGCGCGGTGGCTGTGTGTTGGACTGTGTAGGGTGGCCGTGTGTTGGACTGTGCCTGGTTGGCCGTGTGTTGGACTGTGCCTGGTGGCCGTGTGTTGGACTGTGCAGGGTAGCCGTTGTTGGACTGTGTGCGGTGGCAGCGTGTGTTGGACTGTGCGCGGTGGCTGTGTGTGGACTGTGTAGGGTGGCCGTGTGTCTGGACTGTGCAGGGTGGCCGTTGTGTTGGACTGTGTAGGGTGGCCGTGTGTTGGACTGTGCAGGGTTAGCCGTTTGTTGGAAAGGTGCGGTGGCACGGTTGTTGGACGGTGTTGCGGTGGCAGTGTGTTGGACTGTGCGCGGTGGCTGTGTGTTGGACTGTGTAGGGTAGCCGTGTGTTGGACAGGTGCGGTGGCCGCTAGTGTTGCACTGTGTGCGGTGCCAGCTCGTGTTGGACTGTATGCGATTGCCGTGTGCTGGACTGTGTCCGGCGTCCGTGTGTTGGACCGTGTCCGGCGACCGTGTGTTGGACTGTGTGCGGTTGGCCGTGTGTTGGACTGTGTGCGGTGGCCGTGTGTTGGACTGTGTGCGGTGGCCGCGCCGCCGCTGAGCCTGGCCGTGCTCTGCCGCAGGTGGCGGCCGCAGCCGTACGTGGTGCGGTCCGACATCACCGTGCTGCCGGGCGCCACGCTGCGTCTGGAGCCGGGCGTCACGCTCGAGTTTTACCCGTCGGTCGGCCTGCTCGTGCTCGGCACGCTGCTGGCCGTCGGCGACGAGAAGCGGCGCGTCACGCTGCGCCCGCTGTCGCGCCAGGAGGTGCACTACCGCGTGGGTCGCGCCCTGGCGCAGCGCCAGCTCTGGGGACACGACGAGCGGCCGACGCGGCTGCGTCTGTGCGCCGCCGGCCGCTGCGGCGGCCACGCCGGCTTCCTCGAGCTCTTCAACGCCACCACGGTGCAGTGGGTGCCCGTGTGCGACCGGCGCTTCTCGGACCGCAACGCCGAGGTGGTCTGCCGCCAGCTGGGACGGCCCACGGTGAACGTGCATCTGCGCCACGGCCGGCGGGCCGAGTTCCACGCCAGCTCTGTGAGCCTGGTCACTGCCTGGCCGGAGCCGCTCGAGTGCGCCGGCACCGAGGCCGAGCTGAGCGCTTGTCGACTGCGCATGACCGGCCGGCCGCTGCACGCCGTGCCGCGCTGCCACTGGCGCGACCGCTACGTCTTCATCGAGTGCGGCGACAGCAACGTTAACGACACGACGCAGGCCTGGGGCGGGGTGCGCTTCGCCACGCCCAGCTTCGAGGTGCAGTCGTTCTTCGAGCGGCTGCACGATGTGGAGACGCACGGCCGCCGCCGCACCCGCCAGTCTCAGCTGCACTTCGTGGACGTGGTCGGCGCCGGCTGGCTGCACGGCGAGAAGTCGCCGGCCGTGCTCAGCGTGTTCATGTCTCCTGACGTACGCGCCGTCACCGTCCGAAATAGCCTGAGCGACGGCGTCACCGTGGTCAACCCCACACACTCACTGGACTTCATGCACCTCTGGTGAGCCCGGCGCCTCGTGACCACGGCCTACCGCGGCCGACCGCGCTGCCCGTCACCGCCGTATCGGACAGGCGGCAAAACGGCATTCTCACGCGCCATCCTAGGCCGGGAGCCGAGCGCCGAGGCTTGAGAATAACTTGTTTTGAGCCGAGAAGCCGTCGCTGATGTTGTATTCGTTTCTGTCAGCTCAGGTGGTAAAATAACTACGACAGCTCAACGCCTGTTGTCAAGTTTGCATCGCTTGTTGATGCCGGTTCTTGGGTTGCAGGTACTATTATGACTTATCTCCTTCCCACGAGTAGGCCGCTCTCTCATGGCCTGACCTGCCTGTGTCTGGCTCGGGCGCCGTGCCGCCTTGATGACACTGCCACACATTGTCAGGGTGCACCACAACCTGGGGATCGGCATGAACACCATCATGCTGACGGGCGAGGCGCGCAGCTCGGGCCGCAGCTCGTTCGTCCCCATCCAGCAGGTTGCCCTGCCCTACAACCTATTTGGTGAGCAAATGAGTTCCTTTACTGTTTGGACTGTTTAGAGTGGTAAGCCAGTGCGAGGTGCTGAAATTTACGTCCCGTTAATCTTCCTCAACTTGTCCGTTTCAAGGTGCTCTGACTGAACAGGCAGGTGATGTGAGCGGCGTTTAATGCGTGATTGGGCTGTCGAATGGTGTGAGCGCCGTTTGAAGGCGTTCTGATGGGACAGGTGGCTGGTGTTAGCACCGTTTGAGGGCGTTCTGACCGGACAGGTGGCTGGTGTAGCGCTGTTTGAAGTCATTCTGATTGGCCAGGCGGCTGGTGTGAGTGCCGTTTGAGGGTGTTCTGATTGGACAGGCGGCTGACGTGAGCGCCGTTTGAAGCACAGGCCTGCTGGTGCGGTCGGCCGTAGTCGTTTCTCGCTTCACTTTGCTTGCCCAGCGAGCTGCTGCGCCGCTGAGTGTTGACGCCCCTGACGCCCGTCCCACAGGCATGGTGGACATGTGCGATGCGCACAAGGAGATCCAAGTGCAGGAGAGGATCCTGGTCTACTACAAGTACGACAACAGACCAGTGGACTGCGTCAAGATTTTCACATCGGCCGCCCGCATCAAAACCTTTGGATTTAGGCAAGTGGCCGGTCTATGTCACCCAGCCTCTGTCTGAGATGTAGTCCGTAACAGCTTATCTAGTCAGCCGTCGGTGTTCTGTCGCAGTCTGGACACTAAGAATTCTCTTGTCTGCAGCACAGTCATGTTTGGCCTTGATGATGGCCGGTCCTGCCGTGATCTGGCATTTACATTTTTTGACATACGCCGTGCTGGTCTTTACCGTTAATACGCTTCAGCTTTCCAGAGTATCACACCGCACATCTCGATAAAGACGCCTAGACGTGTTGGCCTGCCCTGCGTGCCTGATGCTGTAGTTTGGCTCACGCACCCTTGCTCTGGTCGCACTACTGCCTTCACGCCTGTAGCTATGACCCTCTCGCTTTTAGCTATGACCTTTTCGCCCGTAGTTGTGACCCTCATGCCCGTAGCTGTGACCCTCTCGCCTGCAGCTGTGGCCCTCTCGCCTGTGCCTGTGACCCCTCGGCTTTACTGTGACCATCATGCCTGTAGCTGCGCCCTAACCAGCACCTTTGCCGCAGGCTGCTGCAGTTTAACCTGGTGAACTCGACCGACGAGCCGCTGCTGACTCCCGACTTCCTCCGACTGTACGACGGCGACATCTACAACGTGACGTCCCGGCGACTGGCGGAGCTGACGGCCGACGCCGCCGACCCCACCGTCTTCCACACCACCAACGAGACGTCGCTGAGCGTGCAGCTGCACGCCAGCGGCGCCGGCAGCAGGCACGGCTTCATCGCCGAGGTCGTCACGCTGCCCGTCTCCTCGATTGGCTTTAGTGAGTGGCGCCGCATGTTCTTGCTCTACCGCGGCTGCGTCCTTCCAATAACGGCGTGAACCAACTCTACTTTTGAAATCTGGTCGGAGTTGGTGTTTCTCACACGGGTCTGTTGTTGTGCATCCAGGCTCCTGGGACCGAAGGTACTGTCATGTTTGTTTCTATCCTGAGCGTTGAAGTGTGCCCCAGCCGTGTCCTCAACTGAGCATAGCACAACATGTGCCGTAAGTAAGTTTCCTAAGGTTCATAAGTTTTAAGTTTTTTTCGTGTCTGTCGCCAGGTCGGGACGTGCGTCACAACGTCTCCTACTCGGAGATATCCGACAACGAGGGCGGCGGCATCTCCTACATGAACGCCGGCGAGATCAACCCGACGCTGACTCTCGAGTGGAACCGGCTGCTGCGCAACGGCCGTCGCCTCTACGGCAACTTCACCTCCAGTCGCGCCGCCGTCAACGTGGACGTGCAGAACACGCAGCACCTCTACTTCACGGTGGGTGCCGCTAACAGGGCGGCCCGGGCGGACGGAGACGGATCGGGTGGGTTGTCAGGCGGGGCTGAAGGCAGGGTGGCGGCGAAGCTGGTGCATTCAAGTTCGAATGGCTTCTCGCACGGAATGGGCTGTCTCTGGGCACATCATCGCTGTTGAGCACATATTTGTACTACCTGCAGTCAAGAGGGCTCCTGTCCGCCTATGCTGGTGATGCGGGTTGACGCGAGAGAGACAAACATTTGGTGAAACTAGACGCTCGTTTCCACGCGATTCCACGGTCGTGATGGTTGTCGGCAGAACAACGTGCTGCAGCACAACCAGGGTGGCCTGCGGATCCGCGCCGACTCCAGCGGCCTGGCCACGGCGCTCAAGGCCTACATCTACCTCAACCTGTTCAGCGACAACGACGGCTGGTCCACGCTCTATGTGGAGGGGCGCAAGACATCACCGTACCAGGAGGCCATCCTCTACTACAACTACTTCACCCGCGCCAACTGCACATATCAAAACGTGCTGGAATTCGCCCAGGTAGGATATCTGAAACAGCGATGTATGAGTGGTGGAAATGAGAAAGCTGGCTGTCTCTGCAGGTCTACTTTACTGTTGTTTTTTTTTGTCGTATTCTCCATTGTGTGCTGATCAACCTAAAATGTTACTTTTGTGATGCATCTGCTGGTTGCTATTGCTTTGGTGGCGACAACCAAACATAAATACACACGCACACGCACGCACGCACGCACTCACGTACTCACGCACGCAACTGTACACCCCCATATATATATATATATATATATATATATATATATATATATATATATATATATACATATATATATATATATATATATATATATATATATATATATATATGCCAAGTGACTGTACATAACCTCCACAGAACCCATGCCAAGACTAAAACTTTGCAGAGAGGTGAAGCGCATGGATGGAACATCTGGTTAAAATAAATATTTGGTGTGAATCAGGGGAGCATGCTGCTGTCTTCAACGATGTAGCCGACATCATTTTTCACTGCTTCATTCCCTTGAGGCGATGACTCCTAAGTGTATTTATTTTGTATTGACTTGTCCTTGTTATGATATCGCAGGTGGTCGCCAACTTCAGCTACAATCTGGTGCACAACAATCACGGCTTCCACATCATGAAGGTATCCGGCTTCGAGCGTGTCCACTTGCCCATCTACCAGAACTTCGCGCACAACGGCTTCTTGTGGTAAGCGAAACTTCCAGTCATTTGTGGCCTGGGAGCGTCGTAGTGCTGTTCGAGACAACCGCTTGCGTCACGCATGCAAAAAGGTGTATATTTCAAGTTCGATTACATTTGCATTCCACTTCCAGATTTACTCACTGCACTGCGACTGTGGCTGGGGCCAGTCGTTCGGTGTGGTGCATCTGGTGACCGATTAGATGGCGAAAGAGACGGGATGAGGGTTCGGACGTGGTGGCGTCTGGATAGGACACAGATCAGATGGCGAAAGAGGGGGACTGGGGCTTAAAACTGGTGGTGGTAGGACACAATAAGGATGCGATGAAGCAACGCACTTATTGAAAGCGTCGCTTGGCCGCTGTGACTGGGGCGCCGTGCCGTCGGCGACCGCTGACTATGGACCTCCGCCGGCCGGCGCAGGAATCACGCCACGGATCCGGAGGAGCGCACCACCATCCTGGCGGGCAGCGCCGGCCAGCAGTATGTCGACAACGTGCTGGTCAACCCGCACAACAACTACGAACTGGTCACCATCAACCGCACGCAGTGAGTGGGCATGCGTCCACACGGGGGCAGGGCGGGGCGAGGCTCACTGTGACGTGCTTGCCGTTATGTTTTCGTTGAATACCATAGGGATGTGTTGGAGGGAGCACTGGTGTGATTTGGGAGTCAAAGCCCATTTCACCGTCAAGCCTCTCTTCATATACGGGCCAACCCGGCCAGTACATGAAACCCCGCTGCATTTTCCCCACCTTTCCCGAAACCAATTAGTTTTAGCCTCTTTGAGTCAGTTCTCAGCTAATCATACACAAAACACGTTGAATGACCGCGCATTCCATACAAGGACCAAAATATGTCAAGGGAGCGCTACTCTACTTCGCATAAAAATTGGAAAACATTGTATTTCTGTTTTCGGATTGTGATCCAAAATATAGCAGCGTTCCCTTTGGCTTGATGTTTTCTCATGGTACGTTTCGTCTATTTACGTGATTCGCGTGTCACGTTTTTCTTTGCGATCATCGCCGAAGCGTTTCAGTAAGAGCGCGGAAATTTTGAGGCCTTCCTTATCATTGACTTAACTTAACATCGCTTTGAAATATGATAGCGCCTGGCATTGCCGTCGTGTGCTGTGGCTCGACATCTAGACAAAACAATGTCTGTTCACATCCACAGCTAGGTTCTGTCTAACGCCAATTTTTTATCAAAACGAGTTTCATGTTATCTAATGGATGGTGAACAACCATCGGTCACGCCTTGAAGGCCATGCATAATTGTCATAGAGAGATGTAGAAGATGGATGGTCAGTGTGTTCCATGATGTTCCGACGTCAGTTTAGGTGCTGAACCAATGAGTGTTTGTGTTTGCCGATATGATAGCTCTTAGCCCATTGCAGACCACGTTTGTCGTGTCAAATGCACAAACATTGCAAGGACAGGAAAGGCAAGATGCGTGGCAGGGAACGATGGCTCTGACTGCATTCTGAACGGTTTTGGTATCGTTAATGATAACAAATTGGAAATAATGCACAATCAATGCTGCAAAAGCTGATGTATCAAGTGGCAGGGAGGGTGCCAAATTCAAAAATGCAAGAACGAGTGGTAGTTTTCATGATTTGTCCACGTCTTGGCATATGAAGTACCTTCAGTGGGACGTTTGTCAGCTATCTGCATGTACAAGAGCCCTTTAATAACTGCGAAAGCCATGCTTTCGGGACTAACTAAAATTGGCCGAGAATGAGTTTGAATCTGCCGTAAGGGCTTGGAATTTGTTCAAACGGATTGGGACGTCGTGAAGGGTGTGGAGGAAGTTTTCTATTGGGGATATGAATCCATAAAATATGTGCACTTAATTGGGCGTTGCGTGTTCAGCTGGGCTGAAACATGTAGGATTCCCACGGTGTGAGGCTGTGATTCCCACGGTGTGGGGCTGATTCCCGCGGTGTGGGGCTGTATTTCTGTTGCTGCTCTGACAGACTGGACGGGTTGGATCTGCGTGGATTGGGTTTAGAGCTGATAGACTAAGTTCCAATTGATCCTGGAAATCAAATCCATGAAGAGCCCTGCTATGCACTGAGTTGTTGCACAATCTGTCAGTCTGCCACCAGATACACACGCACACAGCCTTTGCTCCATGCACAAGCACACCTAGCTATGTTCGTGAGTGCGTGCGTGCGTGCACAGGGGTGCGGATGATGGTGGTGCGACTTTTGGGGGCGTGAAAGCGCCGGGTACACCAAATTGGTCTCGCTTGCTGGGTTCTGAGAGAGCACGCCGCATATCATGGCACGCGCACGTGGCTTACTGAAACATCTTCCTTCTGTTCGCAGGCAAGATCTTAAAATTTCGAACTATAGGTGAGTTTCTCTCTTTGCACTGGTGTTTTGCTGCGCGCTCGCTCGTACCCCTGATGTCCTGGCACCCTCTTAAGGTCGGAGGACCGGCATGTTCGTCGGCTGCTATTGCGATGACCGTCATGGAAAGCGCCACCACTCTGCCGGGATGGTGCCTGTTCGCGGTCAGCGGTACTGCTGTAGTGCTCTGCGGTGCTGCTGACTGCTGGATTTCTCGATTGATCGTATCCGCGGAGGCCGGAGCTGGATTTCCCGATTGATCGTAACCGCGGAAGCCGCAGCTGCCCGACATGTCTCCGGTGGCGCTGGCGCAGTGTTTGCCAGCCACGCCACCCATTTTCTGTGAAAGTCGGGGTTGCCTCACTGTTCAGCTTGCACGGGGTTATGTCACATCAGTCGGACCCCAGCTGGGGCGGGCGTGACGAGCGGGGTGGCCGGGCAGGCCCCGGTTCGCGGAGCGACCCGGCGTGCTCAGGCGTTGTTTCGCGGCGCGGCAGGTATGAGGTGTGGCGCACCCCACTGGACGCCCGCCACAACTGGTGGGGCTACAACGAGTCGCTAGCCATCCAGGGACGCATCAAGGACAAGCTGGACGGCCAGGGCTTGCTGGAAGTCGACTTCAGGTGGGAGAGCTTGCTGCCTGCCGTGGCGACCCGTACTCAGAAGGCGTTACGTCTTCACGAACGCGTCCGTGTTACGGTGCGCATACCGCATCACTGACACACGTGGCTGTGCACCGCACCACTGACATGCCGTTTTATGTCTATGTTTATGGTCTATTTACCACCTACTAGATGTATATTTATCATATATATGCATGTCTATCATCTGTCTACATGTCTATTTTCCAACCATCGTTGTTCCGCTACAATCGCTTGCCGAATAATGACGCGAGGCATTCCTTACGTCAGACTTGGCAGTGAGAAATGCAGCCTCAAGTATGCCACCGGGTGCAGAACTGATGCTGGTTTGGGGGCGACCAGACGCCTGGTGGCCTCTGTGTGCACGTGTGTCGACATCGACGGCAGCCGTGGTTTGGGAGCAGCCAGGCGCCTGGTGGCCTCTGTGTGCACGTGTATCGACATCGACGGCAGCCGTGGTTTGGGAGCAGCCAGGTGCCTGGTGGCCTCTGTGTGCACGTGTATCGACATCGACGGCAGCCGTGGTTTGGGAGCAGCCAGGCTCCTGGTGGCCTCTGTGTGCACGTTTTGATTCTTCCTTACCTAACTTTGATTCTTCCTTACCTAAATTACTGCTGCTTGGTTTGGGGCATAAATTATGCTTCTCAACTAGATCGATTGGTAATTTTGCAAAAAAGGGCTGTGCGTCTTATAGAAAATGTGTATCCTCCGCAAAGCTCAGAGCCAATCTTTAAACGATACAAAATTTTGAAACTATCGGATATTGCTAAATCTCAAATGTTAATTGTGATGCACAAATTTTTAACTTCACAGCTCCCTGCATCATTCGATTTAATTTACAATCTCTACGAATCCAATGACATGGATATGAGGCGAGCAAAACATTTAGAACAACCTTTCTCTTATCGTAATTATAGACTATTTACAGCATCCTGCCTTGGCCCTAAGCTGTGGAACGACATTATGGTTCCATATTTTCCAGGAATAGCCGATATCCCTGTATCGAAAACCATCGTTAAGAACATCATCCGCAAACATTTCGTGAACACATATTAACGTAACAAACATATTTGAAGACATTGCCATCCTTGTGCTGTACATATCCAACGCACTTCATATTTGACCTCCTTCATGTTTCATAATCAATTTCTGATATAAAGTCATGCACATATACCCAAATTAATGGCGCTGGCTCCGGGAGTTCTCCCAGCAACAAGCTCTGCTTAGCTGGATGGACTCCCTGGAAATCCAGCCCAAAACCCAGCACAAAAATGACCAGGTAATTGCCCCCTCCGACTTGTGACTGTATAACCCTTACTAACACCGGGAATTGAGTGGTTGTAGATTATTGGGCGGTTGTAGCGGGCTGTCATTAGCTGATTTTGGCTAATGACTACTTTAAGCCTTTTCATCTATGATTTTTCCCTCCCCCTCACATAACACAATTCCCTCGGGTCTGCTCCACCTCCTCGCCTGTTTTTTTTTTGAAAGTTTGTTTCATCTTCCTAGCTGGGAGTGCCGCGACTTGATTTTATGTTTTCTGGTGTTAACGTACGGTTAACTGCGTCGCTGGGATTGAGGGAGGGGCACTCCTGGTTACCTGTTCTTGGGTAACGGCGTAGAAAAAAAAAGTGTATCGACATCGACGGCGGCCGTGGTTTGGGAGCAGCCAGGCGCCTGGTGGCCTCTTTGTGCACGTGTATCGACATCGACGGCGGCCGTGGTTTGGGAGCAGCCAGGCGCCTGGTGGTCCCTGTGTGCACGTGTATCGACATCGACGGCAGCCGTGGTTTGGGAGCAGCCAGGCGCCTGGTGGTCCCTGTGTGCACGTGTATCGACATCGACGGCAGCCGTGGTTTGGGAGCAGCCAGGCGCCTGGTGGCCTCTGTGTGCACGTGTATCGACATCGACGGCAGCCGTGGTTTGGGAGCAGCCAGGCGCCTGGTGGCCTCTGTGTGCGTGTGTATCGACATCGACGGCAGCCGTGGTTTGGGAGCAGCCAGGCGCCTGGTGGTCCCTGTGTGCACGTGTATCGACATCGACGGCAGCCGTGGTTTGGGAGCAGCCAGGCTCCTGGTGGTCCCTGTGTGCGCGTGTATCGACATCGACGGCGGCCGTGGTTTGGGAGCAGCCAGGCGCCTGGTGGCCTCTGTGCACGTGCATCGACATCGACGGCGGCCGCCGTGCGCTGCGCCTGACCATTGGCCGGCCGGTGTCCGCAGCAACTTCCACATGAACAACAGATCCCTGCTGAGCGGCAAGTGTCCGCCCGGCTGGACTCTGGTCGATACCACCTGCTTCATGTACATGCCGGCACCCCTGAACTTCAGCGAAGCCAAGCAGTTCTGTCTGGTAAGCTGTCCGTCCACCGCGCGCCGCTCGATGACGTCTGGCGTGGGCGAGCAGCGCGGCGACATCAGTTCCCCACCCGGGAACGCCGGCACGTGGGCCCTCTATCCGGAAACATGGAGACGTACGCTCCCTATCTGGGAACGCGGGGATGGTGGCTCCTTATCCGGGAACAATTGACTTGCCGGACCTGACGAACGTCGTGTTGCGATGTTTATCAGTTTTGCGTAAATGAGTCGGCCTACTGAAAGCAACTTCGGCTGTTTGCGCTGAGTTGTCACGATAACAGCGAGTGATTACTTCAGGCTGGGCGGCGAAGATATTAACGTGCTTGTAACAAACGGGCGGATGAAAATTTACCAACGTTTTGATACCCCTGAGAGCAGTGCGTTCCATCCCTGCCTTCTACAAAGTACAATAACTTGCGATAATAGCCTAAATATTTGAACAAGGCGATTGCCGAGGTGCCGCATCCACCCCCGTTTAGCCCCCCCCCCCCTCCTCCCCCCACTCCAGTGGTCACCGCCGCCGCTGCCGGCCCTACCCCCACTCCAGTGGTCACCGCCACTGCTGCCGGCCCTACCCCCACTCCAGTGGTCACCGTCGCCGCCGCCGGCCCTACCCCCACTCCAGTGGTCACCGCCACTGCTGCCGGCCCTACCCCCACTCCAGTGGTCACCGCCGCCGCCGGCCCTACCCCCACTCCAGTGGTCACCGCCTCTGCTGCCCGCCCTACCCCCACTCCAGTGGTCACCGCCGCCGCCGCCGGCCCTACCCCCACTCCAGTGGTCACCACCGCCGCTGCTGACCCTACCCCCACTCCAGTGGTCACCGCCACTGCTGCTGACCCTACCCCCACTCCAGTGGTCACCGCCGCCGCTGCTGGCCCTACCCCCACTCCAGTGGTCACCGCCGCCGCCGCCGGCCCTACCCCCACCCCAGTGGTCACCACCGCCGCTGCTGACCCTACCCCCACTCCAGTGGTCACCGCCACTGCTGCTGACCCTACCCCCACTCCAGTGGTCACCGCCGCCGCTGCTGACCCTACCCCCACTCCAGTGGTCACCGCCGCCGCCGCCGGCCCTACCCCCACTCCAGTGGTCACCACCGCCGCTGCTGGCCCGCGCCCACCCCAGCGGTGGCCGCAGCCGCCGCCTTGCTCGCGCCCACTCCAGCGGCCTCTTCTTCTGCCGGTAGGACGACAACGCGTCGATGCCGTACCTGCGGACCGACTACGATCAGCTGGTGCGCTACATCCGAGGCCGCCAGGAGCGCTACAACTGGCGGCTGGACCGCGTCTGGGTGCAGCACCTGGACATAGTCAGCGGCTGCAGCTACTTCGTGCAGCGGCGCGTCGTCACTGGACGCTGTGACCTCCAGCTGCCCTTCCTCTGCGAAATGGGTCAGCACTCGGCGGTCGGCTCCGAACCCCGGGCCTGACCCACACTGTCCGTGGAGAGCACGCCGCGATGGCCAGACATTCCCTGCTCGGGAGGGGAGGGGGCAGAGTCGTGTTTTGAGTCATGTGGCTGCACACAGTGACAAAGGATTAATGATCAATTTTAGTCAGTCAGGAAACTTTCTCTATCTCACCCTTAATTCGCTGCCTCTAGCTTGCACACTAGCGATTCGTTCTGGACATATCAGATTAATAGTCGCGGATATCGGTCGAAGTGTATGAATGCGATGCACCATCCCGGGTGGACAATACAGCCTACGGACGGGTGTGAACATGTGCTCCACCTGCCCCGGGCGATGATGACGAATATCGCTGAGGCGTTTGTGTGCGATGTGTCCCCGCGAGACAGCTCTGCCGGACATAGGATCTGAAACGGCCCTCTGTGTGTGCATCTATGTTTTTCATTTCTGAAAGGAGTTGGTCATATCTGCATTGCGCGCATGTACATTGCATGCTATGTTTGTCGGAACTGAGAGGCCTTGGCCATTTTTTGCTGGCGTAGGTTATGCGTCCCTTCTATAAGACGCACGTGACACGTATTCCTGCAATATGCTTAAATTTTTACGAGTGGAATGCACGATGTTAACTTCGAAGTCGGCCAGCAAAGCATCCTCCCGCAGACATCTTGCCTCAGAGAACAGTGAATCCTCCCTCTTTGCATCCCGGATCTTGCGGGCGTGCCATCGGTGTTACTTGTTCACGCTTCGTTGCAATCCTGACCTAAAAGTTTTCGGCCCCGTGATCTGACATCAGATCAGTGTGACCTAACCCGACCTTGCAGTTCCTAGCTCAGTGTGCTTCCGCTCCACTGCCGTGACCCGACCTAACGTGACATTGCTGGTCACCACGTGAGGCAGATCGGTTCTGGTGACCTGGCGCGCCCTGACGGCTGGCCTGTGACGGTGTGCCGCAGACCCGCGCGTGCACGCCGACCCGCTGTCGTGGACGCGCGACGACGTGGTGATTGGCGTGCTGGGCGCCGGCGCGGCGGCCCTGCTCTTCCTGCTCGTCATCCTGGTGCTGTGGGTGGCCAAGTCGCGGCACCGGCACCGTGAGAAGCTGCAGCGCCGCAACAGCATCCGCAGCAGCGTGCGCAGCACCCGCTCGCTGGCCAGCAGCTTCTCGGACGTGTCCGGCGGCACCGGCTACCGGCGACGGCCGAACGTGAGTCAGGCGCCGGCACTGACCGGGCCGCCCAGAGGGGACCGGCCCGAATGGGCCAGGGTAGCAGACCCTGTGGAAGCAGGGCCTCCGACGGTGTGAGGACCGGGTAACAGACGGCAGGAGGGCAGGGCACCAGACGGAGCGAGGGCAGGGCACCAGACGCAGCGAGGGCAAGAAGGCGAACCGGGTGAAGAGGACAAGAAGGGTGCCACGATTGAGGCCACAGACGGCGTTGCGCGGGGGGGGGGCAGTGGACGGAATTGTGGGGTTAGTAATGGATGTTATCACCGATGCCACCATTGTGTTAATGTTGACTCTCCACCCTCCCCACCCCATCCCCTCCCCTACATACACAAACATCAACCCGCTGACGCCACCCGTCCGCCCACAGCCGAACCCGATGCCAGACGGCGCCACCGGCGGTAGTATCGACTCCATCACCAAGCCGTCGTTCGACGAGACGCACTCGACGACAACTTTTGACGACCGCTTTGCTCATGACCCGCGTCTGGAGAACGCCAACGTAGACGCGATGGTGCACCCCACTTTCGACATGGGCTACGAGAATCGCGGCTACCTGGACCGATCTACCTTCACGTCGCGGGGTTCGTCCCCGTGGGAAGCGGCGGGCGCCGGCGCCGCCGTCGAGCTGGAGCCCCGCAAAGCCCACCCGGCGGCCGACGATTCGGGCGGCAGTGACTCGACGCTGGAGCTGAAGCGCCCGTTCGGCGACGAGGACGCTGGCTCGGACACGATCCCCGTGTACCAGGGCGTAGCGGCGCAGCCGACGCCGTCGCCAGGTGGTGTGCAGGTGGCCCGCTCGGCCGACCCCTTCCCGCGTAGCCCCAGTGTGGCGTCCGACGACTATTTCCAGCAGGGCCGCACGCGCTCCCAGCCGCTCGAGACGGCCATGTGAGCGGGGGCGCCCCCCGCCGGTCGCACCACCGAAGGCTAGCTGGCTGACTGGACAGCAGACCGGCCGCTCCGGCTGACCAGGCGGCAGACCGGCCGCTCCGGCCAGTGGCGGGCGTCCAGTGAACGGACGCCCGGCCTGATCTGTGATATGTTTATACTGGCGCTGCAGCATCACACGTCGGATCGGAAGCGGCCGGTGCATTTGCGTGAGGTTATTTGGCGGCGCTATCCTCTACGCCTCATCACTGCCCAGTATCGACGCTGGCGGTATCCGCCGCCTCACTGCTGAGAAGGGGGGTGCACTGCTGCAGCGTGCTCCTTGCGGTCCCAAGTGCTAGATATGTTGCCCCCGTCTCAGAATCGTGGACGTATGTGTGAGACACGTGTGAATATTTGAAAATCACGTCATACTGAAGCGTATATTGTGCATATTTTTAAAGAGGGCGAGTGGGCTCCAGTGTTCCAATGTTTATATCATGCTACATCACGAATATGGTATGCATTGATCATCAACCATTCCACTCATCACGATTCCGTCCATATTAAGCGAGAGGCAGGGTTGTATTTAAAAGTGGATCACAAATAAAGTGTTATCATGGGAAATGGTTGCGCACAGCAGCAAACATTGCCTCGGGAGTTTATCGACCGTGAAACAAACTTTCGCGGCAGTTGTGTAATATCTAAAGGGCGAATGGTATCTCTGCCCTGATGTGAAGCGTGCCTTCCAGGCTTCGCGTCTGTCTTTTCGCTTCGTTTCACCGATATTCCTCATCAAAGTGTGTGCTCGACCCGTCTCAACCGTGCGACTGGTCCCCAGCGCTGAGATCCTAGCCTCGGTCAGCTGGGTCACTGGCCTCCAGCGGCTGGAGTTTAGCCCCAAGCCGTGTCAATGACGCGGCCTTCACCGTTGGTAGGTGACGGTATCGCTGTCTGCCTCTGGCGTTTGCATCTGTCTCCGCGCCCGCGTACTGTCTAGTCATAAAGGACAGCGGAGGGTGGCGCCCACAGCCGCCAGATGCGTGCAACTTTGTTTACAGGGCGCAGGTGGACATGTTGTGGTGGCACACGTTTTCTACAAATATACATACTTTATAACAAGGCTGCATTTTGGCTGTATCCTAAAGATGGCACCGGCTTCCTGGGAACCACGTTATGCATTTTCATTTATCAGGCATTCGCCACATAAGTCGCTACCTTCATGAATATTTGTTGGCGGCGGCCCGCGGGCACCGTCCTCCGTGGTGCTTCGCAGGTCCAAAGGCCATTCCTGTGCCGGGACCTCTCCTGAATCTGGGCTAGCTTGACGGTAGCATCGCGTAAGTCTTCGTATCCTGAACACAAGGATCTGAACTCTGATCATGTTCGCCGCAAGATGCCGCGGCCAGCCACGATCCTTACGACTAGCAATAAGCCTAGCTATTTGTTATATTGTACTGTTTAATATATGAAGTAAATCTTGGCTGAACAATTTGTGAAAAGCACTGATCTAAGGGGCTTTGGAAAAACACCGTGTCACCGCTGATCTGTCACATCAGCACCGATATGGTATGGTCTGTAGTATATTTCTGGCACCTGCTAGAATTATCCTGATGAAAGCTACGATGTTTGGCAGCATTTTATGGCTCTATCTGCTCATACAGCGAAACGTTAATGCGTCGACATGTGTTCTTCGCATGCCCACGGTACAAGTGTTCATGAGGACAGATCAATACTAAGCTTTGAGATTCGTTTAGCTGCAATAGTGAGTTGCAATCTGGTTTTGCCTATTGAAAGTTGTTTGCAATTCCGCAATTTTGCCGCCATTGATTCGAAAAAGTGTCACTTTTCGTCACCAATCTATCCGGTAAATCAGAAGCTTTTCCATCCCTGCATTTAGACACAAGACAATGGGTCAAAATGTTCGGCAGTGTCTCTTCTTTGCTTAAGTAACAACGCCACATGTTTCACGGTGTCTGTTTCGGACATGATCTCGGACATAGTCCTAATCGAGCCGAATGCGCAGGCCAGATTCAAACCACGTTGCCAGTTGGTTCACAGCAATACTCGGTCGGCTGACTGACGGTGGCAGCAACACGAGCAGACCAGTGACGGTGCCTCGATGGCCGATGGCTGACTCGATCGGCTGACTGACGGTGACGGTAGCACCAGCAGACCAGTGACGGTGCCTCGATAGCCGATGGCTGGCCGAGTGATCGACCGCCGGTAAGACAGTGGACAATTGCCGGTGATGTATCGAATGACGTTGTCATGGTACAGTTACCCAGTTGAAACCGTCCTTCAATTAGTATCCGGAACATTCCGCACACTTTTGCAACTGTAGCGTTCCCGGGCTTCACCGGCCGACACGCATCCCTGAATGACACGTAACGAGACGTTTTGCGGTGTATTGGGCACGGTTTCGAAGGTGGACCAATACCCGAAGAACACTCAACACGGTGCAGAAAGACGACCAGCTTCTGGAGGGCACAGCACGCCCCGGCCTTCAGCCGCCCCCCTGAGGTCAGTTGCCATTGGCAAATGGAAGCCTCATTCCCTATCTCGGGTAAAATCATTCCTTACCTATGACGCCATGGCCCTTACCCATTTCCTACTCGGCCGAGAGGTGAAGTGTGAGTGCGTTTGTTTGCAAGTAAGTTGTTACTGTTGACAGAGTAACGCTTCACAACGCTGGATGCGCTGTTGACGGCCTGAGATATCATCAGATCGTCTAATCTGATGCAACAACGGAACGTTAGCCATACTTATCTGTTGGTTTCCTATATAACACAACAATTGAATTAACAAATTCATTGGCCTAGGATCAGATGTGAGGGTCAGACGAAAGTCAAAACCAATCTGTTTCGTCACTCTAGAACTTGCTGTATGGGGTAGTTTCTGGTGCTCATTTTGAATTTATTGAGAACAGACACTTTTCATGCGCTTCTTAAAGGTCAGAATAGGCCACTGACTTAAAATGACCCAGGCCAACACTTTGCTTTACGAATTTAGGGACACACTGCTTAGCGTAATCCTTGACGCTTATGCAAATGAAAAAATGAAAGCAGGTTTTGTTCACCATTACCTTTGAAAGGTCACATAGGATTATTAAACTTGAATGGGCATCAGTGATCTTTCATTCAGAACAGGTAGCTGGGCTCGCGATGATTGCATGAGACGGTCTAGGGGCACTCTGGACACCAGTCTGGTGCTTGACCTTATCTGAGTTTATTTGGCCCGAAGTTCATGGCCTTGGAACCCAAAGCTTTGACACAGATGAGTTCGCGTACAGGCCAACACACCCTGTGAATTTAGTGTATCTGGCTCTGTTAGTTTCTGAGATCTCAGAGAGTCAAGCAGACCGGGGGCGAAAAAGTGCCTATTCTGTCACCGACGAAATTTGGAACCGTCTGAACTGTCATCTGGGGTGAAATCTTTCACAAGCCGTTGCTTTATCTCTAAATGCAATAACCAAAAAAATCACAAACAAATTAAGTGCAACGCAGCATAGCCATCAAGCATATTTGTTTCGGGAGTTCATTTGTCCTAAAGTTTCATTTGCTGGTGATCAAGCACTGAATGAACGCTGAGACTGACGTAACAGAATTATCGGTAAACGTACGGCCTCGGCAAGTCCCGAGGGTGGGAGAAAACTGCTTTGATTAGGGTATTTCATTAGTCTAGGGCAGGCGCGCCTGCTTTTCTAGCAGCAACACAGATCATGGCATTTGATGAAGGACGGTGTATGATTGAACGTCTCGGTTATGTGCATGGTATTGAAAATCGGAGTGATGACGGAGACTTTCGGTGATAGAATGACTTCTAATGACGCTACTGGGCATGGACTTAATGACCATTTTGTCATAGGATGTCGTATTACGCTACTGGCGACAATTTTTCATCCATAAATTTTTCCGGCCGGCCCAGGGCGCTCGTCCTCCTTCGGTGAGCCGGCCAGCGCAAGACGCTTGTCCTCCTCCGGTCTGCCGGCCGGCGCAAGACGCCTGTCCTCCTCCGGTCTGCCGGCCGGCCCAGGACGCCTGCCCTTCTCCGGTCTGCCGGCCGGCCCAGAACGCCTGTCCTCCTCCGGTCTGTCGGCCGGCCCAGGACGCCTGTCCTCCTCCGGTCTGTCGGCCGGCCCAGGACGCCTGTCCTCCGGTCTGCCGGCCGGCCCAGGACGCCTGTCCTCCGGTCTGCCGGCCGGCCCAGGACGCCTGTCCTTCAACGGTCTGCCGGCCGGCCCAGGACGCCTGTCCTTCAACGGTCAGCCGGCCGGCCCAGGACGCCTGCCCTTCAACGGTCAGCCGGCCCAGCCACCAGGCATTTTTATTTTTACGGAGCGTGCCGGGCCTGGAAACCGGACTGTCACATCTATCTGAGTCGGGCATTAGTATTGTAGTGGTAAAAAGCTCTCCGTTTTGGCGCGCTAAATACCACAAATAGGCCACTTGTACTGTATGTTGTTTAGATGAAGTTTGTCGACTCCGCTGATGATGTAAAAAGTGCGCGGTGGCATCATTGCGCATTTTGAAACATTAATTCATTCGGACGAAACCATTTCCAGACGGAGAATGCTGCGACCGCTGCACTTTTACAACCTTGAGTAACTTGTGTTTGGAGCTAAATATACTTGATGACAAACTCAAAATCCATGTAAGCACTGATGGAGCTTAGCTAATCCATATTTGTGGCAAGCGCCGGTGTGCTTACAGGCTGGAGGGATTTGTTCCTCCTTGATGGCGTCGTTTTGGAGACCGGGGAGTGACGGGGAGTCCCCGCAGCTCCCTCCTGGCCAGCACCGGCACGACGTCCGGCCCAGCACAGCTCTGTCCGAAGCCGGCACCGTCGCAAAGCGTAGGTGACCTGATAGCGGCTAAGTCGGCCCAGGCCGGGTAGGGCATGGCCATAATGTATGCGGTTCAGAGCGCACTTTGTGGTTAGGCGCTGGTCGTTGCCACAGTTGCCAGACACGCGGTCGGGATTTCGCTGCACTGTTCGCACGGGCCGCAGAGCGGACACAAGACACTGATCCGTGTCACGTTGCACACCGACCGCTGACGCGGTTGCAGGCGCCCGTGATGCATTGGCGGCTTTCCTTGCATTGTGCGCCGGAAACAAGCGGCTCTGCACACTGCATACCGCTTTCCAGTTCTGCGCAGTTTACGCTCCCGCATTGTATGTTGACCTGCCACGATCCGCCAGCGCTGATGTTAAACTTGCATATGTTTTCGGCGCAATTTCCAGTCAGGCACTCAATATTTTCCGTGCACGGCATTCTTACACGAACCTTGTTGTCACAACCAACGCGGGCACAGTTGCCCGACAGGCAGCCCGTATTCTTTGCGCACGGGCTGCCTTCTGTGAGGGATTGAGCCGCACAAGACTTGCAAACACGAACCCTGACGCGCACTGAGTGTTCTCAACACGAGGGTTTGCATTTGGCAGCAGCGGTGCTCCGCACGCCAATGACACACGGACGTGCAGTCCGTGTCTGCAGCGTGCGCGGCGTCGCCGCCCTGGAGTTACGCCGCGCAGATGACGGTCAAACAGAAGGTCGATATGCACTGAGCACCCCGTTAGCACGAGCTCCCAATATCGCCCAGCGCTGGACCGCACGCGGTGCCAGAACAGTTGCGCGTCATGCAATCGGCGTTCACGGAGCACATGGCTCCCATCATCGCCAGTTGCGCGGCGCACTGCCCCAACACACAGAACGTGGAGGCGCACTGCGAGCCCATCGTGCAGGTACTGCCGACGCCGCTCAGGGCTGCGCCGCACGTGGTGCCAGCACAGTTTCTGGATGCACAATGGGAGTTTATGGTGCACATGGCACCTGCGCTGAGCAGAGCCGGGCGGCAGACCATATTCAGGCAGTTGCCGGACACGCGCTGGACGCTCATCATCAACGGAGCGGTGTTCATGAGCTTGGGGGTGCACATATCCCCATTGGCTGTGGCCGTGCGGAACTGGGTGCTCATATCACAGCCCATGGTGGACAGTTCGACGGGGCACTTGTTGAGCGTGCAGCGGCCCCTGCTGCACATGCCCGACAGGCACTGGACAGGGTTCGTGCACTGGACTCCCGGTGTTCCCTTGTTG